AGAAATAAAAATAAAACTTGATTTAAATGATAATTTAAAAAGAATCTTACATGTATTTTCCTATTAATGTATTAAATATCCAGTTAATATATTTTGCATGCTTTGAAAAAAAAGAAAAAAAATATCTCTAAAAAATTATTTTGAGATCTTTGATATTACTTGAATAAAAATGCGAAAGATGGAATTGAAGAGAGCTTTGCTTCTGCAGGTGTGAGAGATTAGTCTAGTATATAAAATATATAAAATTTTTATTTGCGATATATGTATATTGTTAGACTAATTATATCTGTGAAATGTGAGAAATGTCATTGTCGGAATTTTAGAACTATCTTGAAAATTCATTAAAAAAACTGTGAAAAAAGAGAAACTATATTATGAAGTTTATTATATACATTCGCTTCATCGTGACATGATGAAAATTCTGCAACGATGGAGAAGTTGGCGCGCGAATAATTTTTTCTCACGCGAGAAAAATCGCTCTTTTTTGTTATTAACTCGACTAATAATTTCCCGGAACACGAAACGTGTAACATAATTGTTAGCGTGGAATAATTACGCAAATCACGGCCGTTTGAATGCAATTTATATGCTTAACTATATTTTTTGTAATTAATCCTGATCATTAATAATTTTATAATAAAACAATTTTCCTTTTTTTCGATCTTTCTCTCTGTCATATATTTTTTAGAATAGTATTAATTAATATTGGTTATTTATAATTTTAAATATCATTTTTTTTTTTATATTCTTTATTAATAATCTGTTATTTTTTATTAATAATTTTTCTATTATAATCTGTTGGTTTATATAATTTTTAATCTTACGTTGTAACCATATATTTTAATCTTTTAATCTTTTAATATTATTTGAAATATAATTCAAAAAATTAATCAATAAGATTAATTAATATTCATAATATAACAATGATTAATTAATATATTTTTAACACTCTGCAAGCATTATATACATTTCAATATTTTTAGAAATGGAGATAAAGATACTTTACGTCATGTCGCATATTTGAGATATCTAAAAAAAAAGAATTCAAAAGATAAAAATAATAACCGAGGGAAGAATTGATTAAGAATTGATAGCTTCGAAGATGAAATGCGAAGAAGGCAATTGAAATGTGAAACGCGAAGATAAAGTGAGCGTTCGTCGACGTCGTGAAATCGGCTTACCTGATTTCTCGCGTCGCGTCGGATCAAACGCGTGGATGTTCTACTGGAGCGCAACTATAAAGCACCGTCGCGTCGGGCGCTCATCATCATCGCTGTCATTTTCCGCGTTTGTGCAGTGAAATCCGAACGCGCGATACGAACAACAACGATTTTGTTTTCGCCACGCGACGCGATGTAATATTCCGGACTTTTGCATCGAAAAGCAAGCACGAAGATGGGAACCACCCTCGACGCGAGCTGCGGTGTCAATTTCAGAACGAATATCGAACAAATTGGAAGAGAGTGGCGCGCGGCATCAAGTTAAATCAACATATAGGTGAATAAAAAATTGAAGTAGAATCGAAAATAAGAGAGAAGAACTTTAGAGAGAAAAATATTTGATTAAGCGTACGTGTCACACGCAAATACGTTAACTATGCAAATATTATGTACGAGAATTACAATGTATGTATATAGATATATTGTTTTTTATTTCCAATTGTATATATACAACTGAATTTTATAATTAGTCTTACTTTATGTATTGGATGTCGTAAAATCGACTTATCGTTTCATCGAGTTACAAACGCGTGGATATATTCCAGTGACAAGAGTACAAAACATGGCCACCCCCGTTTTCCGTCATTTCTGCGTGTTTCCGTTTGCGAGATACGAGTGTGGAATTCAAGGCGTTGTTCGCGAATCACGATTTCCGCCTTCGCGACGCGATTCGGCATAATAATCCGGATTCTTGCGTCGAGGAGCTTATACATTCTCGCGTCATCTTCGATACTGCGTCGTTGATTTTAAGGCGAATGTGGCAAGTATATTTATCAGATTTATATTATATTTTTCATCATTGTCTATATATATTATATATTTTTATAAATTTATATTATATAAATATACACGTACAATATTTTATTCGCTTTTATTCGCCATTTGAATATAAAATTATCTGCTATATACGTGAGACAAAAATAGCTGAAAAGTCTAGGAGGCGAATCAGGCATGCAAATGTTGCGGATATTTGAATTCGAACCTAGACGAGTTTTAGTTCGTAAATGAAAAACGGCCAATCGCGGTACGCAACTTTATTCAAATGACGGTAATAGGATTCGCGAATATGGAAATTTACGACCGAATCCCCGTGTAGAACGCGACTAAACTCTCGTAATAAGAAATCGTGGAAGTGAATAATGCACGATGAAACTTGAAAAGTTTACGTATTTTTAAAGCAAGAACTTGTTAGAAAGTCAAAACTGTGTTAAATGGGTTCGTGACATTCCTGTTGGAAAATTATCGAACACTTGTAAAATTATATTTTTCTAACAACGTGTAAATAAATGAATATAAATATATATGTGTAAATAAAACTTCAAATAAAGAAAATATATGCACAAACAGGTCGTGAAATTTCAGCGAAACTTTTATTTACTAGAATTTTAAATATTTTTTACATATATGTTTAACTAATAAAATAATTAAATCTATATATTGGTATTTTTAAATGTGAATTAATTTCATAAAAAATCTTATATTGAAAAATAATATAATTTTATATTAATTTTAAATATACATGTAGTATATAATTATATACATATATATTAATATAATTATATGTATATTAATAATATTCAAGTAAATAAAATTTGCATATTTGCAATTCTTGTTTGTAATAAAATCTGTCAAGGTCATTGACATCGACTATTATAATCCTATTTCGTTTTTTTCTATAAGACGGGAAGCTTTACAACGCTAAAATATGTTCTTAGAGAAAAGATCGCTTCTATTATTACATTTAGTCGCCATTTACCACAAGCATACGAGCATTCAAGCCTACATTATATGTATATGTTACGTATAACCCGATTGTAGAAAGGTATTGCGATGCCTTTGATAACCGCGTGACACTGTAACCTTATGAAAATTTTAAAGGCGAAATGATTTCTTCCAAAAATACACGATATAGTTTTTAAACATTATTTTTTGACCATTTTTTAGGATGTTATCTTCTATTAATTTGTTCGTATTATATATATTTTTTGCATTAAAATCTATTTTTATGGCATTATAGCATCTTTATTAATTATGGAGGAAACTATAACCAAATATGTATGAGAATCTGTAATTAAAACTTAGACAAACTGTAATTTTTTTTAGAATTCTATTTATAATTTGTTCGTGTTAAATTGATAATTAATGTGTATAATTAGACTTTAAGGAAAATATTCTTTAATCAAAATTATATTATTTTTCATTATTATTTTTACATAATCTTAAAATTATTTCTTTATCTATATAATTATACTTATTAATATTTATTAATTATTAAATCGATATAAAAAGTTAAAGATGAAAGTCTGGTGTTGAATTTAGTAGCCTTGAGTTATTATATTATAGATCACGTATGAAAGATGGGATTTTTAAATTGAAAAGGTGAGTTTTACCGCGCGTTATGAATAATGGAAGCTGTTTATATTCTCGGCAACTAAAACATAACCATGAAAATAGATATATGAGCAATAATGTGTTTCAAGATGGAGGCAACTCTCAACATTTATGTGTCAGCCACATCGAAAATCGATCGGCACATATAAAACGAACGCGACGCGACGCGATTGTTTTAATCGGCAGAAAATTTCGCCGATTCGCGAAATAATTCGATTTGTTACGTTTCCATATTTATTCAAACGTGCATTCACGTAATGTTCGATATAATCGTGAAAAATAATTTCAATTACCGACATTTGAAAATCGATTCCAATATTAGCATTACGGGCTGCGAAGGAGATTTAAATGAAGCTTTTGTAATGTTGTAGAACGATGAAATATTGCGTCCAACATCTTGCACGCGCGCACACACACATACATATATACATATACATATATACACGAAGCTAAAAAGCTATTTTAAATAAATCATAATTTATGATAAAAATTTCAGACAAATTCTATTTATAATTCGATATATCGTGTAATACAGGAAATATTTGAAGAATCGATTCACTGCAACGACGCACTTCAAATTGCACATATATGTGTGTGTGCAATGTGTAATATTAACGACATAATTATAAATTAAATTACAATACAGTTATAAATAAAATTGTCCTAAAATTTACGGTGAATTTTAAATTGTGTCTAAAGTATCTTTTATTAATTCATTAAAAGACTGCGCGTAATCACATGAATTCTCATTGAATTTTATTAAACCACATAAAATTTTACTAAATATTTTTAACTTATTATAATAATTAAATTATAATATTAAATTAAAGTTCAATAATAAAATGATTAATCATATTTTTTACAAATTTGTAAAAGTTTAAATTTTGTAAATTTTTTGATATATATATATTTGTCAGGGAGAAAAACTTTCAAATTCTTATTGCTACCCTAGGTTTGTGATTAAAGTTTGTGAAATCTCATTTATTTCTCTAAAAAGATGCAAATTTTTTGATATATATACCTTTACATGATATTTATAGTGTAGATTCTTTGAAGAATATTCATAAAGTGTTTTTCTTTTTCATTGTTAAATATAGATCCATCTCGCGTCACTCTATCTTTTTAAAAATTCTCGTGCTCTGCATATTATGCGATTATGCTGAATATTAATTATAATATTTTCATTCATGAATCCATTATATTCAGTGCACTTATCGAATTAACATAACATTGATTCCATATAGACATTAATAGATAGCAATAATAATATAGATTAATTAAAGTTATCAGAAATAAAATACACACACACACACACACACTTATCGCACATGGAAGACAAAAAACACTCGTGTTTCATCTATATTTGAGCTTTATAAGCCAATGTCTTACCTGAAGATTCTCTCAGTTGATTCACATTTTCCGATCTAGTTACTTCCAGCGCGTCTTTTCCACGAAAGAAAATCAATTTATAGTATTTTAGTTTCATGTTTCAATGTTCCACTCATACACATAAATAATGTCACAATGTCTTTCACGTTGATTAATCGAGGTTCCAGGAGATAAAGACATCTTCCGTTATTATACGTTCGACATTCTTCGATTCGTTATTATTTCTTCTTTCTATATATCTTGTGTTATATTATTACATTACATTTATTCCTCTTCTGATATTTTTATACTCTCTCAGTTGCGTTTCTTTAATTACTCTAATTAGCTCCTCGGTTATATTTACATTCGAGTTATTTCTTCAGTTATTTGATCACATTCTGCTCGCACTGTTTATTAAGAAAGTGAAACCTATTGTTTTTCGATAAACGGTTCGTGGGAAAGCAAGACATTGTGCGACACAAAGTAAATTTCATTGAGCTTGTATTATATTGAATGAGCAGACAGAGTGTTGTTTGCAAATAGTCTTAGCGGAAATATGTGACTGAGCCGACGAATTAATCGCCTTTACTTTAGCATATATAATATACTATATAAATACTATTAATTCGTATTATTTACACCAGCTTTATGTATGATTGTTTATGATTGTGAATAAGATTATGAAATCGCATTAATTATTTCACTACCAAATATCATATATATATTTATAACATTAGTAATTTGCTTAGCAAATTGCTTGCGTACCATAACATCATATATATACACCAATCTCAAATTAATATTATAGCGTTACATTAATATTGCGCAAGAGCGTCTATACACACAATAATTTTCTCTTATTATTCTGATTTTACGTCAAAGAGCCTCTTTATTAAATTTGTATTATTTTTTATTAAAAATGAATAAATGTGAAAATAATGACAAAAGATAATTTGTCACCTTGATGAATAATATAATCGGAAAATAATTTTTATTTGTTTTTTATTAATTTAAAGTCTATGAAATTACGTAAAAAAAAGTAATTATTTTATCTGTATTTATGACCATCTCATTTTCACAAATAGATTGGTAGCGAACGTATTAATGCGATAAATTAAGAAATTACATGTGCGATTATTATCCACGTTGTTGCTTTAAATTGAAAATTAAAAATATTAAACTTGCTCGTGAAAATATCAGCACATTTGCCATTATTGTGATACAGCATAGACAATGTATCGCATTTTAATTAATTACAAAATATGTCTATCGAATATCAATATTACAACAATAATGTCTTTGAAATAGGCCTAAAATAGGCCACATTTTTAATTAATTTATAATGCATTAAACGGATTTTTTATTAATTTCAGTATTCCCTGAATGAGCGCAAGAAGGGCTTTGGGGGCTTTTTAAATTTAAAACGTGCAATCTACATGAATCGAAAACCATTGACGCGTATTGGAGGAAATAGCTACCTCTTTTGTACAAACACTTAATGCACTGTCATCCTTCGAAACTTCGCACAAAGTCACACCTCGTCACGGTACTCGCACCATCACAGATATCACACGAAACACGTGGTTGACGAGATTAGAGCGAAGACAGGCTTCTACCTTCTCGAATGTCCGCGTGTTCTTAGCATATCGCGATATAAACAGAATCCACGTCGTCCTCATCCGTTATCCGTCTTAATTCACAAAGGAGAGCGTAATATATCAGTTCTATATGGGTCTGAATTTTTGTCTCTTTTTTTGAACCAGATGTATTGCAATCGAGATATATTAATGGTATTTAGAAACTCTCTGATCATTGATTACGAGCAACAAGAAAAGCGCACATGTAGTATCATCGGTGATGAAAGCCGTGATGCGATTTATATCTGTTCTGATAAAACAAGAGAAATGTTTCGGCCGAACACGAAACGATAATCTTCTTCCAGCTTGAATAAATTAAATTTTGCTGGAAATTAATGCGCAGATGCCGTGAATGCTGATTATTGGAAATTTTAATAGAAATTGTTATTAAATTTCGTGAAATATATCACTCGGGAGAGTTTCAGGACGTATACGATATTATCGCGAAGTTGGCGCATCAGCCCCGACTTATCGAACAAATATATCTCTTCGGAAACTGTTATAGTTAGTTTTCACTATCAATCATCGTCAATCCGTTAATTAGAGAAATGTCTTCAGCATTTCTTTGCAAAGTATCTATGCACACGTAGAAAATCGAAGTCGAGTCATCATCATCATCATCATCATTATCATTGATCTATTAATGGCATCTCTTCTTCTTGTTCGCGGCAAGATAGTGTTCAGAAGCGGAAGATCAGAGTTCGAACGTCAGTCTTAAACGCGAGACACTTCCTGAATTGAGTGACTCGTGCTGACATTAGGAAATCCAGGAACGGTGGATCGAAATTAGACCGTCATCATTGTCCTCCCTCGAAAATGGTTTGATATAATACGCATTACTTAATCTACCACTCGACATTTGTCACTGCGGATTCGTTCTTCCGTTAGGCGTGAGCGAAAGATTTCGCTGTTTACTCCACAATTTTTCGCGACGATGCAGGCTTCCCATCTCGCACCACGTGTCTTACGTCGCGTGTTGGATCCTCTCTCTCTGTCTCTGTGAATATTCGCGAGATATATATATATAAATAAATATATCTCCGAGAGAGAATATCCCGGGTTTAACGCTCCGCTTACATGACTCCGAGCAGGCTTCGAGGGTCCAAGTGAGAACCAGAAGGCGAGCGGTTGAACGACGCGAGCACAACAGTGGGCCGACGTGTGTGTGGCTAACACGGCTCGCGAGGCCGCAGTGAACTGTGGGTGGTCGCTTCGGAGGCTTTCCCGCTTTCCACCAGCGACGCACCACTGCGCCACCCTGTCTCTGCGTCTCTCACCCTCTACGCCCTCTTCGCCCCACATCGGATGGCGGTACCGCTTCCACCTTCCTTCTCGGATCCCTCACTGCCACCACCCTGATCCGCCGTTCTCTCTCTTTCTCTCTTTACCAGCGAATTTCATGCCAGTGTTCACCCTCTTCATCGTACGTACTTCCACCAGAGAAAAGTGGTTTTTCGACGCCACCTCCGCGAGCTCGAGAGTGGATCTAATTCGCTAAAATCGAGATGTCAAGCCCCGGATCGGACAGATGTTGCGATTATCAATTATTTTGCGAGCTGCCACGCCAATCTATTAAAATTCTATTCCGATCAATTGTTATATAAAATATGAGATACATTAGTACAAGTAATAAGGCTCTTCTAATTCAAAACAATTAAAGGCAAGTACGAGCCAAATTACAAAGCGTTAAAATTTAATTTATTTATACATATTTAAACCGATCGACCAAAGATAACCATGATAAAAATTAACATGACGCAGTACAATCAAAGATTATTTAAGACCGATTGATTACAAAATTAATTACTAACATATACAAAAATTGTTGTGAAAAAATTACTAACATAAAATTAAAAAATAAAGAATAATAAATAAAAACAGATATTGTATATATAGTATAGTATACGGAAAATATTTTAATAAAAGTTTTTAATACACCAATAGAGTTCTAATATATACGAAAAAAACCTTTTAAGGATTTGTTTATTTTCTGAGTTATCAATAAGTTTATCAAACAAACTAACTATAAAGAGAGCATATAAAGAATTTTTTAAGCGATCTAAACGAAATATCTTTCATTATATGATTTTATGACATCACTCGATACTTCAGCAATAAGATCTTAAAGCACACTTTTTACATGTCTGATAAAAAACTAATTAAAAAATTCTAATTAAATTTAATTTACCACAATTAGTTGTCTTTTTTAATCAAAGGAAAGATGAGTTATCTTTCGGTATGTCTGTTTAAAAAAAGTGACTATCTCGATCGATTTTGAGAATGTCCTCGTAATCATGGACGTAAAAATGGACGCAAGTTGCGAAGCGGAACTCGTCAACCCTGTTGTACCACCTCCCACACACGCTTGTCTATTCCCCTGTCGACAGATGTATATAAGCATATACAAAATGTCATGTGTGTATCGAGTGCATATGGCAGAGAACAGAAAAAGTTTGGCGCTTTTAAAATAAAGCGGGACACGCGGAAGAAACTGGATTGTCCGCCAGATAAAATGTCCTACATGTGTACTAGATGCCAAAAGTCGCGCACTTCCTCCCTTTGATAGATAGTGGCCAAAAATATAAATATAAGCGCCAAAAATATAAATAAAAGCGATTAATCTAAAATATAATAAAATATTACGCAATAAATAATTATTTAAAACACTTAATATAATTAATTAACAGTGTCAATCCTCGAGTCTCGCCTGTCAGAATAAATAACTTTAAAACACCTTTCACTCGACCAAAACATATTTCAATAGCTTTTTATTTTGCTATTGATTGGTCTATGCCTAAAATCCTACATAAAGAAAAACACGTACAAAAAGAGATTGCTGAAATGTTTTTTATTAAGAAAACGAAAACACTATTAATTTACAAAAGGACACTGATAATCTAAGTATAGCATATACGACAAAATAATAAAGATCGCTTAGTCTCTCTCGATCCGTTTGACATATTTGACGTGATGTCTATTAGACACTATTCTCCTAAAACATTTTTGGATTGTAATAATTCTTTCTTTCTTTTTTACAAGTATGTATGAATTTCATCTAATTGTGAAATATCAATAGCAAAATTATGTAGTTTACTGAACCTCTTTTTCTGTATGTTTTTGTATAGCTGATCACTTGATAAAGACTAAAAATATAGTCGAAACGTTGTGATTGTAAAGTAATAAAAGAAATTATATAATAATTAATAATAATAATAATAATAATAATAATAATATTAATTCTAATTATATAATTATTATATAATCTTTTATTTGCACATTTTCGGTTGCGTGAAAAGATTAAGGGACTATTAAAAATTTAATAAATCTATCTGAAGCAAAGTGTCATACTCGTTTTTATTCTCTAGTCTCGTAAATAAATATTATATTTAGGAAACTATTTTTCTCCCAGTTATCATAAAATTTTATTAAAGTCATCATCGTGACCTTAATCAATTTCGCGTTTGTATACGTGTCTTGTAAAATTATGAAGTTTCTCCTGGCTGATCGCGGAAAGAGTAAGTCCTGACAATTAATCCGCCTTGCTATTATTAATCATACCAACCGACTTGATTTTTTCCGTCGTGGTGCGTGTATAAACAATCGATGGCTGTAGCGGTAACGAGGTTCGTTATTTTCGCCAATTAAAAGAGAAGAAAAATATTTTCGTGTCTTTGCAAACTTCTGCAAACTACACGTCTGGAAGTAAGAAGTAAGTTTGCCGAGACACGAAAAAAATATAAGTATTAATTATTATTAAAATATAGCATTTGTATCGAATTACGCAAACAATTTTCAATAATCTCAGACAAAAATATATATATATATATATATATATATATATATATATATAATAAAAGAATATAATGACATCAAAAGGTAAAAATTGACGTATATAATAATTAATTTTTTCCGAAAGATATGTATAAATATATTAACGTAAACACATTACAAAAGTTTCACATTTGTTTGGAAAAGCATTTGATTACATTATGCATTTATACTTTGGCTTTTATTTGATTGTGATAATTATTTGTTATCGATTTGAAAGGTCACGCCTCCTCTCATTGTTAATTTGAAATAAATACGATTTCACGAGTATTTCTTAGTATTGTAAAATCGATTATCTAGTGTTTTTATATTGTAATTGTTACAAATTTATCTATTTTTATTATTATCTTCTTTCTTAGACCAAGCAAAACTAACAGTAAGTGTTTTATCTAGCATTAGATTACAGCAAAAATGCAATAAAATTCGAAAGTAGAAGTAAAATCGGAATTGGTGTATTTTCTCTCTCTCTCTCTCTCTCTCTCTCTTTCTGAATTTTGATTTTTTGTGTAGTAAACAAGAAATGAAAACAAATTTTTATAGCAATATGTACAGTCCGAATTTATAGACCATAAACCGATTTATATCTCATGTAAAACTCTTTGAACATAAATACAAATATGTAAATATGAAATTTCAAAAATAAATTTGCGTGGGAAATTAATTTCTATAGAAAGACAAAATTTAAACAAATTTATAGTAAATGATAATAAAAATCAAGGATCAAACAAAAGCACGGTATTTTTTCAACGTAATTGCAAATTAATAATAATACGTTCGCAATAAATGAGGGTTGTTAATAATGAATTATATGTTTGCAAGAATATCTTATTCATTAAATAATCAATGTTTGATTTTACATCAAACATATACAAATAAATACGTATCAACGTAATTCCGGTGCAACACCAAAATTATAAATTATTTGTAAATTACATCCTCCCCCAATCGCAAATAATTAAACGACTCACAATCAGATGACAAATGATTTGATGCCTATCGAGTATTGTTATAATTTCACTGAAATTATTGAAAATGACGCATAAAATAAAGCTTTACTTCTCTTAAATATTTTTTATATATTTATAAATCAAAATAAAATATATTGCTTTCTCTCTCTTTCTCTCTCTCTACATTTTTCATATTTTTATTCTATATATATATATATATAAATATATAATATATATATTTAAGATATTTTTGAATATTTATAGTAACAATTAACAACATATGTATATATTCATGAAATTTTGTTTTATACAACTATTAAATTCATGATTTCTGAATTATTAATTGTAAGTTCAAAATAAGACTTTATTTCTTCAAGAATATGTCTTTTAACTCGTCTTTATATATAATTTTTAATAATAATAGAGCATTGTATCTTTCTTTGATACATTATAAATATATTAAATATTTATATCCAATATTTTTCGAGAGATATTTAAAATTACAAAATCTTATAAAATTGTACTTATAAAATATTTAATCATATATTAAGCTTGTGATTATTTAATTACGAAATAATCCCTATTTTTTAAAATGTGGATTTAAAATATTTGGAAATAATATGTTTTCAATTTTTTTTCTATATTGTAAAAAAAATATTCATAAAATAAAAAAAATAATATAGTAGACAGCTGTATCACACTTTTTCTGTAGCTATAAAAAAAGATGACCCTCTTGTTATCTGGGTCGTTTCGCAAATTGGAATGACATCAATTCGTGTACAGTCTCTCTTGTCCATATTCTTTACCTTGTCTGTAAATCTCCAAACGATTATTCTCGATTTTATTATAACGTAAAAATCGTTTTATGATGCATATCAAGATTGATTTTAATAAAATGTAATGGATAGAATTATTATTATTAATTTATCTGCATATTTGAAAGTATTTATCAATGTATTTCAGAAATATTACAAAAAATTATCAATTTTATTAATTGCACAAATAATTTTATTATTGTATTTTATTATACATTATTTTGATTAAAATATGATTTATGCGTGAGAAGAGACTAAATCTAATAATTAATTATAATTTCAAAAGAGAAAGAGAGAGGGAGAGAAAAAGACTTTTCTATCATGTATTTTTGTACATATAAATATTTTAATTATTTTTAAACATTTTGTTTTTCTTAATTATTAATATATTTTTTATTTTCATTGATAAATCTATAAAGAAAAAAACATTGATTAATTACAGCATGCAGAAATAAGAAGACATCAGTATTCAATGCAATACTTGACGTAAATTTTATAAAAATCTCACTTGTTTTTCCAAACTACTTTTCTGAACGAAAAAAAAAAAAATTACTTACATTTTTTACTTAGTATTTTATTATTTATCAAATAGATTATTATTATTATGATTCTCGGCGAAG